ACCTGAACTAACGCTTCCTGGGCGAGAAGGACTGCGGGGCGCCCTGCGAGCCCGGCCGCCTCTACGGCCTCATGTACTTCGGGCCCGAGGAGCTGCGCTTCTCCCGCACCTGGATTGGCATCTGGTCGGTGCTGTGCTGCGCCTCCACGCTCTTCACCGTTCTCACCTACCTGGTGGACATGAAGCGCTTCAGCTACCCTGAGCGGCCCATCATCTTCCTCTCAGGCTGCTACACTGCTGTGGCCGTGGCCTACATCGCCGGCTTCCTCCTGGAGGAGAGGGTGGTCTGCAACGAGCGCTTCGCTGAGGACGGCTCCCGGACTGTGGCGCAGGGCACCAAGCGGGAGGGCTGCACCATCCTCTTCATGATGCTCTATTTCTTCGGCATGGCCAGCTCCATCTGGTGGGTCATCCTCTCCCTCACCTGGTTCCTGGCCGCCGGCATGAAGTGGGGCCACGAGGCCATCGAGGCCAACTCGCAGTACTTCCACCTGGCTGCCTGGGCCGTGCCGGCCATCAAGACCATCACCATCCTGGCCCTGGGGCAAGTGGACGGGGACGTGCTCAGCGGGGTCTGCTTTGTGGGCATCAACAACGTGGACGCGCTGCGGGGCTTCGTGCTGGCTCCCTTGTTTGTCTACCTGTTCATCGGCACCTCCTTCCTGCTGGCCGGCTTTGTGTCCCTCTTCAGGATCCGGACCATCATGAAGCACGATGGCACCAAGACAGAAAAGCTGGAGAAGCTCATGGTGAGGATAGGCATCTTCAGCGTCCTCTACACGGTGCCGGCCACCATCGTCATTGCGTGCTATTTTTATGAGCAGGCTTTTAGGGAACAGTGGGAGCGGAGCTGGGTCACGCAGAGCTGTAAGAGCTATGCTATCCCCTGCCCTAATAACCACAGCAGCCATCACCCGCCCATGAGCCCCGACTTCACCGTCTTCATGATCAAGTATCTCATGACCTTAATTGTAGGCATCACCTCGGGCTTCTGGATCTGGTCTGGGAAAACACTGAACTCTTGGAGGAAGTTTTACACCCGTCTGACCAACAGCAAGCAGGGGGAGACCACGGTGTGAGAGCCCGGCCCGCCAGGCGCGGCGGGGCCGGGAGCGCCGGGCGGCCGCGGGGCCAGCGGCACG